ACAAACACAACGCAACATTTACACCTGCACAAATCCTTCAGTACAGGTGCACAAATCCCATCGGACGAATCACAAATGCAGAAACTCATCTGCTCATGTTCTTTGCTACTATTGTTTCAGTGAATATGGTGCAAAACACATTCACACACCTGCATCCAGAAATGTGAAGTCACAGACAAAACTTGCACATCTGTAGATTAGAATGTGTATCCGCACAAAGATAGCTGAACGTGTGTAGAATGTTTGATTTATTTTTTTCCAAGCACGAACACAAATATGTTCCTGCAACTGCTCAAATCTGCCGCTACGAGTCTCAAGCGCTGTTTTTCACTTGCAAATCTACGTTTCGCTCTCTCGCTCTTCTGCACCAAACATCACTGTGACATTTGGTGCAAAAGTGACTTGTGTATCTGCCAACCAAAACGTGGGCTCTCAGAGAAATTCAGCCAATAGGGGATGGGGCGTGACGTCACCGCTCTAGCGCTGCGGAGGCTGAACTTCGAAACCGAAACCCCCTTTGCGAGATTCGCCGCATCTATACCTGATTTGCGTTCAAAAATACCTGCTTAATTATTTCATAGTAGGAGCAAACATGCCTTAATAAAAGGAGCACATTTGAAACTTTAGTAACCATAAAAAGTACACCAAGTGGATGCCTTTCTACTCCAGGAAGCCGCAGCATACGGCCTGAAGGAGGAAGGACGCGGTCAGTTTGAAATGTGAGTATTAAACCAAAGACAATTCCTTGTGTTAAACTCGTATTTGTTGAGCTACTGTACAGTGCACTGTAGAATTGCTAAGGGTGTAAAGAGGCTTTAAATTATAGCCTATTTTATTTTGCTGTAAACGTTGATTATGTAATGTTACGTTCTCCAGTCAGCACATATAAAGTAACGTTTCAAAAGTAAAAGAGATAATTATCAAATGTCTGACAGAAAAATATTAAGTATTGCAGATCACAAGACTAAACAGACATCTGAGTGAGTGATGTATTTGTGCAGATGTAGAATCTGCTGTCAATTGACTGTGCCAATA